AAGCAGGTGTTTTTGGTTATTTTCCTTGCTTTGTATTTGTGTTTCTTTTTGGGTCCTGTGTCCTATTTTTTTTTTTTAGATTCCAGATTTTCGTTACGTATACTTTATGTTCATATTGTTTGACATTTCTATGGTGGAAATTATAATTTGAAAACTGCTGCTTAATCTACTGGTGCAGTTGTCGGTCCTGAAGGAGGAGGACTCTATTGCGTAAAAGATGATGATGATGATGATGATGATGATGATGATGATGATGATGATGATGATGACGATGAATGTTCCTGACCAAGCGCGTAATGAGTGAAATGTTGAAAGTTTTATAGAATATTTTTGGAAATCCTACCAAGTCTTAACCTTTTTTTTCTGCAAGCAGTGCTGCTGCTGCTGCTGCTGCTGCTCATGATGATGATTGCTGGATATTATGGGTTTTTTTACTCAAGCAAAAACAAATCGACATCACATCACTTTAATTTATCCAAGTGGGGAAAAGTATTGTAAGAATGAACATACACAAACTGCAGTAAATCTTTTTTTTTCATCTTTTTTCTTTTTTCTTTCTTTTGAGGAATATCACTTCAACTGATCCTTTTATAGAAATCTAAGGTTTCAACAGTACATAAATTCATAAGTGTTATATAATACACAATATTACTTCAAAACATAAACTCTTACACACACATTATTGATGGTCATTACTGCGCAGCGCCATCATTTTGTTTGTTTGTTTGTTTGTACGTCTGTTTATATGTCTGTTTGTTTCTTTATTTGTTCGTTCGCTTTTGTTTGTTTGTTTGTTTGTTTATATGTCTGTCTGTTTGTTTGTTTGTGTATTTGTTTTTATGTCTGATTATCTGTCGGTTTGTTTGTTTGTTTGTTTGATTAACCGTGTCTTACTCCTGGACACGCCGGAGTGATCATCCTCCTTAAATTCTGTGTCATTGACGTAATTTGCTCGAGCTGATGTTCAAATTTAATGTAGCCTATTTTGTTTTCTATTGTTTTGTTTGTTTGTTTGTTTGTTTATTTGTTGTGTTTGTTTGTTTGTTGTGTTTGTTTGTTTGTTG